GCCAGTCCCCCCCCACCCCCCCAGCTATGGTCATGTCAACAAGAAAACTTTTATGAGAGATCTTGGACATTCTTTGAGAGGAGATTGTTTTTGTACGGAGAAAACGGGGTGGGTGGGACGGAAGGGCGGGAAGTGGACGTGCATCCATCTGACGGAAAGAAAAACTACAAAACTTACAGAAGTTCCAGTGATAAGGTAGGAGCTTTGCTGCAAGTTTGCGAAAGTCATTACCAATAATAGATCTAGTCTCCAAGCGATGAAAAAATGTTTTAATATTTACAAGTAAGTTTTGCATAGTATTTACCAAGATAAATATGGACATCAAAATGTCCAATATTTATAATCTGAGAATTTGCCAGTATGTTTCAAAGAGAGGTTTCTTGCTGAATTATGGGCTCGAAGCTGACATTTAGAACCCTTGCAAACACAGAAGAAAGAAAGAAAAAATTCAGATTAAGTCTGTTACTTAAAAATTGTAAAAAAGGTAAAAATTAGAATAAGTTCTGGCAAAACAATCTCTATGGTCTTTAAGTGGGCAAAAGTGTTCGATTGTACTAAATTTTTTAAATACTGTCACAAGCAGAAATGGTTGTGCAGGTTGACATCATTGGTAATTAATAATAGGTTTTAAACAAAATTACTGTTTGAAATATTTTCTTATGGTTTGTAATATTTCTATAAATTTAAAACCCTTTTAATTTCTGTAGTTGTATTTTTAAGAAATTGCTTCATATTATTTGAATCAATCTGCTGAGAATCCATGTATATATGGATGAACTAATACCTTCCTTGTAATAGGTAAATTTTCTACTTAATTTTTTATGCATTATGCATTTTTGAGAAATAAATTTTTGAACTATGAACACAACACTGAAATAAAAATGGGGAGAGGAGATGAATATATGCTTTTCCAAAGACATGGATGGCAAACAGGAATATGAAAAAAATGCTCATAATTAAAATAATGCAAATCAAAACAAAACTGAAATATCACCTCAAGCCAGTATAAAAAAAATATAGAAAAGTCAGTATTGCTGGGGCTTTGATGAGAAAGAGACCCCATCCACATTTGGTGGGAAGGTCTTCTGGTTCAGCCTGTATTATAGAAAACAATATGAAATTTCTCCAGATATTAGGAGTAGGGCAGGGGCAAAGACATAGGACAGCAGACAGGGTGGTTTCCTTCCACATTACCATCTGGCAATTGATCCTGAGCACCCCATATAGTTCTCCCAAGCCCTGCCAAAAGTGATCGCTGAGCACAAAGTCAGGAGTTAGCCCTGAGCACTACCATGCATGTCTCCAAACAAGAAATAGAAATAGAGCTCCCATACCACCAAAGGATACTTCTTCTTGGCAAGTATCCCCCAAACTAAAACATTAACTTGAAAGGATATGTTCTCACCTCATCATAGCACAAAGTACAAGAACCAAGATATGGAAACAACAAAAGTGCCCAATTGAATGGATCAAGAAGTTGCGTTATATATACATAATGAAATATTATGCGACTCTAAGAAAGGACGAAATCATGCAGGTTGCCCCAACCTGGATAGAACTAGAGGCCACCATGCTAAATGAAATTGGTCAGAAAGAGAAAGGGATACATATGGAATGATCTTTCTCGTATGTGGGACTGAAAGCTAGATGGCAAGGTAGTGACAGAGGGCCAAAGGCAACACAAAGAGAGAACTGACCCACACTGAGGTTGTGGTAGTGGAGGGGGTGGAGATGAGGGAGTGGGGAGAGGCAGTGTTGAGAAGGAGAGGTCCTTTTCAGCAAGGCAGTTATAGAGACAGGTACACAAGACCTCTGTTACAACCTTGACTGAAACCTGGGTACCGAAGACCAACCCCATTGAATGATTTTAAAGGGATTAAAGCTGATTTTATCTTGGATTCTAACTGAAAGGTATTATCCATCTATGGGGATAAAATTTGCTTTTTTACATAGAATTTGTTTTTTTACGTACAAGCATGTTTTTTTTCTTTATAATTATGATAACAAATGAAGCTTGTTTTTAGTAAACACTTTAGTTATTTTGCATAGGTGCAGTAAAGTACAGCAGTAGTAATATATAACTTTAGACGTCATTGAATTAGAGCACGGCAGCTTTTCCCAGGAAGGATTTGATCATATTTTTCAACTCTAGAACTCAGGCCAGTCAATTTTAGTTCACTTCACCCCGGAGAGTTCTTCTAGGTGTTGAAGGAGGCAGGGAGTGCTGGGGATTGAACCCAGTTCAGCTGTCTGCAAGAAACAGCTGTAATATTTCTCTGGCTTGAGTTTTCTTGAGTTTTCGTCTTGAGAAGTCTTGTCTCACAAAAAGGTTCAACATATGTTAGCACAAACAATACTTCTTTACCAATTTATTAGTTTTTTCAATGTAATGACAAGGTTTAAGATCTGGCAGCAAGACAAGCTATTTGTTTTAATGATAACAATTTTTTTATATATATAACATTTTTATTTACGAGAGACTGAGTTACAATTTAGTTGGAAAAGCTAAGTACTCAGTTTTTTTAGTAAACACCGAAAGGGATATATTTTATTATTTATTTATTTATTTGCGCCTCCCGCCTGCCCTGGGATATATTTTAATCACTTGTGTTTTGTAATGTTGCTCTTTTATTTTTCCTTGAGTATTAAGGCAGATTGATAAGTAAGTAAATAAGAGATCGGTCCCTGGGTTGGATACATTTTAGGGATGGTAGGGTCAGAAAAGCCTCCAAGGATTTTAATAGTAATACTTGGTATATATTTGTTGACAAAGATTTCCCTTTATTAACCATTTTACTTAAACTATGTTATAGATTTGTAATAATCCTCTAAGCTTTTACTACAGTATAGGGCTATGATTTCAGGTTGCTATGGTGGTGTCTGAAATTGTCCACCAACTATCAGTAAGTAGCTCTAGAAATTTGAGTAACCAAAAGGTTCCAAGACCAAATATTCCTAGATATTTTAACATTTGGTTTACTCATTTACCTCCTATTACGACTTGAAAATTATTAGTATAAACTGCGTTTTACCTCCATCACTGTATCACTGTCATCCTGTTGTTTATCGATTTCCTCAAGCAGGCACCAGTAACGTCTCCATTCATCCTAGCCCTGAGATTTTAGCAAGTGCCACATTGGAGGCTCTTTTAGGGTCAGGGGAATGAAACCCATCATTGTTACTGGGTTTTGGCATATCGAATACGCCACAGGGAGCTTGCCAGTCTCTGCCATGCGGGCAGGATACTCTCAGTAGCCTACCGGGTTCTCCAAGAGCGAGAACTAGACAATAAGAGGTCCATATTAGTCAAAAAAATCTTGCGAGATAAAATCATTGCCTTTCTGTTTAGAATTCATGACTCTAGAGAAACCTGTGTATTTTTAAACTAAACCATTAACTTTTTCAAACCAGTTTTTATTTGCTACAATTATCTTAGTACATAACTATTTCTGGGCCAGATGTTTTAATAAATCCATGCAGAAACAAAATAACCATATACATATAGACACAGAAATCTTAACTTTCTCTAAAACTTTACACATAGCATAAGGGAACATTTGAACTTTTCATGTTTATAAAAGCACACCAAAAATAACTTTTACAATCTTTTACAAACATGTATATAGACTTTTATAATCTTGGATTACATTTTGATAGTGTCATTGCCTTTGCTTAGTGTTGCTGAAACTATACCTCTATTCATAAAACAGAGTGACTGCATTTCCCTTCCTCCTTCCCTCTCTCCCTCCCTCCCTTCTTTCCTTCCTTCCTTCCTTCTTTCCTTCCTTCCTTCCTTCTTTCCTATTTTGGTTTTGGAGGCACATCTGGTGATGGTCAGGATTTACTCTGGGCATTTTGCTCAAGGGTCACTCAGGGTGTTTTGCAGTAGCTTGAGGTTTCAGTCCATCAGGTGAGAGTCAATGGGGATAGTTTGGCATAAGGTAGGCATGGTCTGATCTACCTTTTACATTACAGTTGGGTACCTCATAATGGGAACAAGGGACGTGCTCCTTTAAGAAATGATTAAGGTCTATTGGTACAAGGGGATGACTAGATAACCCCAATGAACTTTCTCCTTTGAAGCTACTGTTAATCTGTTGCAAATTATACTCAACTTATCAGTAGCAGAATACAGGGATGTTGGTGCTGGGAAAATCCTACACCAAATAAGGCACTGAACCCTATGAAACTCCAGGTTTATTCCCAGTCCCAGTACTTATGATCCAAGCATTTATCACCTCAACTTCCCTCACATAAAATGTGAGCTCCAGAGAGCAGGGATCTATGTCTCTTGTGTCAGCAGTATTATTCTCAGCAGTTAGAATCATGCTTAGCGTCAAGCACACCCCATATCTTTTTGTGAAGTAAATATCTGAAAGTTATTGCAGGCGCTTTCCTGAACCTCAGAAAATAAAGAATTGGCACTGGATGATTACTGATAGCCTTTCTAGGTTTGTCTTCCTGTGACCCTATTCAAAATCACGATACATTATTACTAAAGGCTTTGCAGATTGGAGAAAGGTGCATGGGAAGGGGGTACTTCTGGGGAGAAAGAAAGGGATTGGGAGGGGAAAACCAAAGTTGAGAAGAAATGTACATATTACCACTAAGGCTGGGATTAGTGTTTAGGATTAATTCCAATGCCAGCGTTTCACTAGTCTGAGAGTACAGGATACTAAGAATCCATTGCAGTTATCATATATATATCTTTACCTTATTTGAATCAATAAAGTATTCGTATGTACCACATGTTCTCATATACCCAAATATCCATCTTAAGGAAAAAGTTTCTCCAGATCACTGGAAGAGGAATATAGCTTTTTGCATCTAGTTCTGCTCCTCATACAACTATTCTTGCAGACTGAGGTTGGTCACAGGGATTGTCTGCCATGTCCTATGATAGCTGCACTGTTTAGGACACGGCCAGGAATCCATGAAGACTAGGACGTGAACCACAGAAATAACCATCACAGCAAGAACATTTTAGAAAGATCCTTTTATTCCCCAGAGATCAGTATACTCAGAAACAAGACTATGAGGCTCTGCTGTGAAATCCTTAGGGAACTTACAGGGCTCCTTTCCCTACTGTCTTACTGGGTGATTCTCTTCTAGACTCAGAGCCCTTTTTCTCCTCCCATCTGAGACTTTAGTGCCTCTTAAGAAAGCCATTGACTTGTCCAAAAAGCAGCCAGAGAATATCCAGAGAAAGCCAAAATGGACGAGGAGAGGGAGGATTTAATAGGTATTCTGGAGCCTGCCAACGTGAGAGCCCCGGGTTCTCTCCATGCTGTTGGGCATGAATCTCTTCTTGCCAGGTGCTCCAACCCCAACTGCAGTTTGAGGGAACGTGTGAAACCTGTTGAGGTCCTGCGTGTACGTGCCCAGCACACAGGTGCTCAGATTACTGCACCGCTTCCCTCTGGAGGCGTCCAGGCTGCAAGGGAAAGAAAGATACCAAATGATTGCATGCGGATCACCAGATCTGCCACCATGTATTTTCATGCAGTTGGTTGGGCCAGGGAGGGGCACATGGTGCAGGGTTGGCAGGGGCAGGCAGGTGGGCCCCTCCCACATCCTGCATTAGGAGAGCGAGGGGCAGGCTGAACCGAGACAGGCAAGAGCAAGAACTCCAATGAGGCAGGGGAATTGAAGCTGTTCCTTAAGCTGTTCAGTCTTCATGCTTTGGAGAGAAGATCTCCAGATGCAGTTGCCTCTGCCCAGTGCCTCTGCCCAATCTAGTGTGTGCTCTAACCTCGGATGCACAGGGAGGAGGAACTGGGAGATGTTCATCTTGCACCTGTGACTACATTCACTGCACACGCACAGATCCTTCATCCTCGAAAGGTATCAGAGTGTGATTGCTCTACCTGACCACCCTCTGCAAGTCTATAGCTTCCCTTGCAAATATAAAATGATGGTACCTAATAGGAGGTACCATACAATCTACACTTCTACAATCTCTTGCTGTTTGTGGGGCCCATCAGGTAGCTTGATTCTTTCCCGAATTAACTCTTCTATTGCTGGAAGGTCTACCGCCTCAGAACTCCTGCCCATTTTCCAGAGTGGCAATTTCATACCTTACATAAATGCTTTCAGAAATGGATCTTTTTTTCACATGGATTAAATATAATCTCACCACATGAACTCATCACCAGTAAAACCTGTAAGTACCTGAGCCCTAGGGTAGGGTTAATATGAAAAGCCTGTGTTTCTCCTACCTCTTATGATAAAACTTTCTACAGTCCCAAGAGGAAGAACAAGGAGACATTCTGTGCTGGAAAGGTTTGGAGCCGAGACTGGAGAGATAGTATACTGGGTAGGGTGCTTAATCTTGCACATAGTCTATCTGGGTTCAGTCCCTTCCCCCTACCCTCATATTCTGGCAGGGGTCCTCTAAGCCCTGCAAGGAGTGATCCCTGAGCACAGAGCCAAGAGTAAGCCCTAAGCACCACCAGGTGTTGTCCAACAATTCTTCTCAAAGGTTTGGAATCTCACCGAGTGACTTCTTTCTTCTGTGGCAGCCCAGTGGCCTTCATCTTCAGAGCATATACTTTCATTACTACATCAGCAAGTTGAAGTCGTGATTCCTCTTTAGGGGAGTGATCAGGGTAGTGGCGACTCTCCATGTCAGTGCTGCAGAAGAAATTCAGTCAGTGCTCAGACACTCTGTATACCTGCTCCCCAGGACTAATGGACCGCTGTCTGGGTTCTTGGGGTTTCTTAGGAGCATAAGCCATGCCAACTCCTACTGGAAAATGCAAGAGATCACTTCTCCCCTGATTCATTGGGAACAAGGTGTGATCTCAAAGCAGTGATGTAAAGGATGTAGATCTTTTAGGTTGAAAGAATACAGACTTAAAAATTGGTCAGTGTGGCTTTGATTGCATTTGAAATTAAAATTAAAAAATTCAGTGATGAATAATAAAATAGATTTCAGTTTAATTAACATGATCTGTAAGAGAGAAATAGATGAACAGGTCACATATCAAAAAGAGCGACCACAAATATATTTGCAACATAGGAGGCCAATTAGTATGCAACTCATTTCTCACATCATGAATAATTAGATAAAAAGGCTTGCCATAGGTAGGAGAGTTTGGTTTAAAAAAAAGGCATTCCAGTGAGTCTCACTGGTTTTCCAGCAAAGAGTGTTGTATGGCATTACTAGCTCTCAGTTCGGAGCTAACATCTCTCTATCTGAAAAGCTCCCGTGTCCCCCAATTTCCTGCCCTCATCTCATTGTTAGCACATCACAATTCCCAGCAGATAATTGTTTGGTGGGAAGCGAGTGGGTTCTCTTTCTTACCTGATAGGTAAAGCCTGAAGGATCCCCACCTGAGTCAGGGCCAGAATGCTGAGAGCCAGAAAGGGGGTGATCTTCCAGAATCCCATGGCACCTCACTGTAAGGGAAGAATAAAGTCACCACCTGCACTATTTGAATCCTAACTACGCCCAGATCTTGGCTCTGCCTTCAGTTCCATTATTCCCAGAGAATCAATCTCCCATGGTTATCTCACTGGCAGGAATCAGATCTAGGAATGCACCACTTGCACAGTGCTACTCATGCAAGTGCGTAGTCTGCAGACTTGAACCTGAAAACCACTCGGAACATGCAGTTGGAGTGTATATTGACCAAGGAACTAAGGAATCCCAAATGTGGAAAAAGCGGACATACAGTTAGAGATGGGGAAACTGGGCATCCCTCAGCACTAGGGGACTGGAGCAGGAGTCCCCAGGCTGAGACTGTCCAGTGTCTACTACAGGCACCTGAATGGAATCAGACTAGCAGAAATGAATGAGTAGACCCAGACAGAAGTTACCAGAGACTCTGACACTGGCAAAGTGAATACCTGGAAAGAGTTTAAAGGGAAGAGAGAAATACATAAGAGAATCACACACCTAACCCCCAAACCTGTGACGCACCTGGCAGCCAGTGATTGGGAGCAGAGGCACAGTCAAAGTGGCAGCTCAGGTGACAGGAAGCAGCTGCAGCTGGAAGCCTGACGATGCCTCTGATGTCTCCCAGCACCAGGCAGCAGTTTTTATTCCTGCCTCCGTTGGGGCTGAGGTTGTCCATGAGCTCTGGGCAGCCAATGAGGGTTAAGGTTCTGCTCCTCCACAAGCTGAATCACCCACTTATGTCCACAAGTGGAGCATTCAGTGGGACCATCCCTCATGTTTGCATTGAGGTCATTGACAGGAGGTAGACAGTACAAACCAAGAAAAAGAAGCTGAAAGTGGACAGAAACTTGAATATAGTTTGTTCTTCTAGAGAATCTCAACAGTTCTCTTTGGAGAACTTTGAGTGGGTACCCCACTCCATTCCCCAGAAGTTCTGCCTTGAAAAGTAGACTCTAGATTGCAGACTCAGAAACTCTTGCTACCCATGTCTAAACTGAAATGTGCATTCTCCTGATGTTTGGAAGGTTAATGCAGGTTGGGGTGATCTGGAAATCTACAGAGTGACAATTTCATGCCGCTGGCGAGCTGGTGGCAAGCAGGAGCTGAAGGAAAGAACTCAATCCAGTTCTCCAGCTCCAGGGGTTAGGATTATGGACACATGAGAACTCATGTCTTTGCATTTGGAACCATGTCCGTTCATGTTCCTTGAAGGAATATTGTCAATAGTTGCTGTGTGCCTGTTTACTAACTAAATGAGCTCCTTGGCCTACACAGGGGATTCCAGAGAATTGTGTGTTCATAGTGTTTTGGTTCCCCATCTTAGTGAAACTCCCTCCTTGGGCTGGGTCATTTGAAACTTGGTAGTAAGAAGGATCTTGATGGCTTGCTGAGCCCCAGCAGGGAGGTTAAAGCGCTGATCCTCCCAAGCCTCCAGGAATACCTTTAACCCTCCCCCTCTACTCCTCCATCCATCACCTCTTGTTAACTGCCTACTCTAGCCATTTACCCAGCTGCCTTTTGCTTCCGGCTACTGTTTACTAAGATGTCCTGGTACCATGTGATTCCAGTAACACCCACGTCCCCCACTTGATATCTCACTGGACAGCATGGCTGGTTGAAGGTACTGAGACAGAAGTAGTTGAGTGTCAGAAAAACCTTATTAAGGTTCCTGCTCCTTCTTAACTCCCGGGACTCTCTGCTGAGAAGGAATGAAAGCTCAGAACTGGGGACCAGGTTGTGGGATGGTTTTCTCAGAAAGAGCAATGTGGTGAAAAAAAAGAAAAGAGTGAATTGGTGGGGCGGTGTACATGAGACACAAAGCAGTGAAAGGTGGGCAGAGACAAGACCAAGGGAGTCAGAAGGGTGAACCAGACTCAGTCTCTTCTGTAGCCTAGAGGCCAGCCCACTGCTGCTCAGACCCTGTTTGGGGGTTTGGCAGTTTGGGTTGCTGAGCCGTGGCCCCAGCTTGAATTCCACCTGGAGTTGCAGGCGGTTTGGCCATCGATCAGCCTTGACATGCTGCACGACCGTATCACGGCACTAGGCCAGGGCATAAGAGCAATTTTTTTCCTTTTTTTTTTTTCCTTTTTGGGTCACACCTGGCGATACACAGGGGTTACTCCTGGCTCTACACTCAGGAGTTAGCCCAGGCGGTGCTCGGGGGACCATATGGGATGCTCGAAATTGAACCCTGGTTGGCCACATGCAAGGCAAACAGTCTACCCGTTATGCTATTGCTCCAGCCATGAGGGGCTCTGCCCTTTTGAGCCTCTGTGGGTCTTTGCTCTCAAGTGCTGAGTGCTTTTGTGGAAGTGACTTCATTTAAAAAGCCTAAACTTTTGGCCATTGGACAGTCAGGTTTGGGCCTGCAGTGACGAGACATGTTGGGCCTCATGGGATAGGGGTGGAGCCGGTCCTGTCCTCCCACCCCAATGAGACCCCAAGTCATCGCCCACGAATGACCTTTCTGGCTCCTGATCAAGCTGCTTAACTAAGGCCATGATCCCAGAGGCTCAGGAGCAAATCTCGGAACCCAGCAGGTTTTGGCAGAAATCCCTCCAGATTTAAGTGATAAAACTTCGGAATTCCAAAATCATGCGGCCACTACTGCAGCCATGTGACACCATATGTTATTCATAATCAGCAATGGAAAACAAATTGTCTATTGTTGCCTTTTCAGCAGATCAGAGTGTTGGGATAAAATCTCAAATAATAATGGTGGGTCTGATGTCAAAATATTGAATGTGATCAAAGTAAAGAGAGAGTAATGTGGAAATCATCTGCCCCACAGGTAGGGGGAGGGTGTGGGATGGGGTTTACTGGGGTTGTTGGGGGTGGAGAATGGGCACTGGTGTTTCATTGTATGACCGAGACTTAGACCCAAAAGCTTTGTAACTGCTTTCACGGTGATTCAATAAATAAAATTATAAAAAATGAAAAAAAAAGCCTGAACTTTTAAAATGTCTCTCTGGAATCATTTGTAAGTGTGTCTGTAGACTTACTTAGGAGACTTCCATGTCTTTCAGCAGTAATAATAGTTAATAAATTATTTTAAGAGCAGTTGACATGCCATGTCCTTTGTGGGTTCAAATCTAGCCTCCGGGCTGGGCAGGCAATGCAGGATGCAGGACACTTGTCTTGTATGCTGCCGACCTGGGTTGAATCCCTGGCACCCACGTGGTTCCGCCAAATCCTGCCAAGATTCAGGAGTAAGGAGTGAGCCCTGAGTACCTCTGGGTATAACCCCTAGACCAAAATAAAAAATAAAGACTCACCTCCTGGCTTCCACCTGAAGCTTCAGACTTCCACATTCATTTCTCACTCTGCAGTCACTGAGGGATGAAGATCCTAGGGGACTGCAAAGTGGGCTAGGTGTTAGGGTCTCTACCCAGAGGGTGCTGAGGTGGTGTTTAATAGTTGTCATTTTAATTTCACTTTTATGACAATCATTATTCTTGCCATCATTATTAATGACATGATTTGGGGGGAGTAAGTGCACATTGTCACAATATAAACAAACTACTCAAGTAGCCCTGATGGGGAGATGACAAACTCTAAGGAGAGAAGTTTGCTTCCAAGTGGAGAGTACCTTGCAACTGTCCCTTCAGAGAGTAACAGGGAACCCCCTACCAACTAATAGCTAAAGGTTTCAGTACCCCCAGTATGCGTTCAGAAAGTGTTTCAACCCTTGCCCAATTTGGTACCCAAATTTGTGCAATATCTCAAGGTTTAAAATCAGGATCATGGGGCTAGAGTGATAGCACAGCGGGTAGGGCATTTGCCTTGCACGCAGCCAACATGGCCGACCCAGGTTCGATTCCCAGCATCCCATATGGTCCCCCGAGCACTGCCAGGAGTAATTCCTGAGTGCATGAGCCAGGAGTAACCCCTGATCATCGCCGGGTGTTACCCAAAAAGCAATAAATAAATAAATAAATAAATAAAAATAAAATCAGGATCATCTACTTATATTAATTTAGGCAGGAATTCTCACACAGCAGGGTCTCTGGCCTTTTTAGCGTGCCTGCTGATTGGAGGCTTTATAAGCAAGTGGTTGCTTTCGATTCATAACGTTAGTCCCCTTACCTATTGCTTCCACCTTTCCATGAGTGAGTACTACTCCCTGTTAGTGGCCCACACCTTTCATCAGCCAGGTTCACGGCATTTTCAGTTATCCTCAGTTCTCAGAATCAGTACAACATCAACAAAAAGAACAAGAATGACTTTGTGAATGATTTAACAAAATGCATTATTTCTATTCTTTCCTCATATTTATACATTCTTTATGTCCTGTTAGGGGGGTAATATTTCAACAACAGTAACAAGTTTCACAGTGGAGACCTTACTGGGCCCACTCGAGCAAATGGATGAACAACGGGAGGACAGTGCTACAGAATAAGAACTGGCAAAATTGAAATGAAATTTTTGCTCTACCCATATTGGGATCGAGTATATAGCTATAGTGACAGTCAGTCTTTGAAAAGTGCTGTGAACATAAATTTTAAGGTAAAAATTTTAAAAATAGTCTTTTAGAATTCAATTCCAAGTTTTAAAAATTCTAAACAATCTCTCTATTTTAATTAATTGTAAAACCTAAGACATTTCTAGAAAGTTAGGTTACTGTTGCTTTGTTCCAAATTCTTTGGGAATAGAAATATCATATATCCAACAATACTATTTCTTGGCATTGATCTCCAAAACACAAAAACATTAATTGAGAAGGATATATGCCTGCCTGTATTCATTGCCAAGCTTAGTATAGTAGCCAAGAAACAACTGAAATGCCCTTCTACAGATAAATGGATCCAAAAGTGGCATTTTTGCACAATGGTATACTATGCACCTCTAAGAAAGAACAAAATCATGCAATTTGCGGGAACACAGAACAAGAGATATGATGCCAAGTGAAGTCAGAAAGAAAGGGTTAGATGCAGAATGTTCACTCTCATGCGTGGGACTTAAAAGTATGATATCAAGGTAGTAAGAAAGGGCCAAAGGCAGCACAACAGAAAAACTGATCTACCCAGTTGAGTTGTTGGGAGGAAGGACTAAAAGGGAGAAATGTTGGGAGTCCTTGAAAGAGAGAGATGGATACTCCAGTGATGGCTATGGTACTGGAATTAAGCACATGAGAAACCATCATTAGCGGTAGTATAAATCACAGAATCTCAGATCAATTTCTAAAACAGCTTTGAATTTTTCACCATTGACTAACACATTACTCTTGCTTTATAAATATGACTGACTATGTTCAAATAATTTTCATCTATGACTATTTGCTAAATGAGTTCATTATGAAAAAAAGTGTGAATTTTGTGCAATGTATTTTCTGTATCACTAAGATGATCATTTGAGGATTCCACCTTAATTCTACTATAATGGTATAAAACAATATTAGTACTTACATTTTGTGCCATTGTTGCATTCCAGGAATTACTTCTACTTTGGTCACAACCTATAGTATTTTTAATAAAGGTAAAGGTAAAGGCCCTCCCGTTGATCATCGATTTGCTTGAGCGGGCCCAGTAACGTCTCATTGGAGACTTTGTTGTTACTGTGTCTGGCATATGGAATACGTCACGGGGAGCTTACCAGGCTCTACCGTGCGGGCGAGATACTCTCGGTAGCTTGCCAAGCTCTCCGAGAGGGGCGGAGGAATCGAACTTGGGTCGGCCATGTTGGCTGCCTGCAAGGCAAACGCCCAACCGCTGTGCTATCGCTCCAGCCCAGTGGTATTTTTAATATTCTGCTTAATTGTTTCCTCAAATTTTTTTGAGGACTTTTACATTCATTTTGTTTTGTTTTTTTTTCTTAGCATATCTTTGATTTTGTAGTCATAACAATGCTGGTTGGATAGATTAGAATGTGTTTCTCTTCAATTATAAAAAGGATTGTATCGATTTTTAAAAAATATTTGATAATATTCATTATTGTGAAGCCATTAGTACATTACTTCCAAAGTTATTCTTTGAAGATATATTTTTTAAATTTTTTTCCTTCTCTTTTCCTTTCCCTTGTTGTTACGGTGTTTGTACAGGTGGTGATCAAGCTTGCACATTTTGTGATGGTACTCACACAGTTTAGTTGAGATGCCTGCATATATTTGATCTTGGCACACCAGACACTGAACACTTTTTGTTGTGACACTGGTGATCACAAACAGTAGTAAAGCCAGGATCACAGTTGGCATGTGGTGTCAAGGAATAAATCTTCATCCTCAACTCTACCATTATTAAAATGGCTTATTGTTATTATTACTACTACTATTGATTTAATTACTTTACTTGTTTAGTTATATTTGGGTTTTTTATTCATGATTTTGTCTTGGTAGGTTTTGAGTTTCTGGTTCTTATTTTTATTTCTGTAGAATTGGTTGTAGTGCTCCTACTAATTGAATTCTGATGTAGTAATTTGAGTCTTCCTTTAACTGTCAATTTTTTTAATTTATATTTTAAAAATTCAGGAGGGGTGATTTTTGAGGCTCAAGACATCCAATTATGTTCAATCTAGATGTAAGTCCTGGCTCTGCTGAGGGGTCACACCTCCCAGTGCTTGGGGAAATGTATGTTGTGTTGGGGATTGAACTGGGTTTGGCCACATACAAGCAAGCACCTTAACCCCTGTACTATTTCTCTGACCCAAAATCTTGACTTTTTAAAGACCCAGAATTGGTTTCACTAATTTTCTCTTTGGTTCTAGTCTCTAGTTCATTTACCTTTGGTAAATGTTTATATTCTTTCATCTAAGAGATTTGGTTTAGTTTTTCTTTTTCTAGTATTTTAGTGTCTTAAGTTGTAAAGATAACACCATTGATTTTTTAAATATAAATTTTATTTATTTTCATTTTGGGTCAAACCCAGGGATGCACAGGGGTTACTCCTGGCTCATGCACTCAGGAATTACTCCTGGCGGTGCTCGGGGGACCATATGGGATGCTGGGAATCGAACCCGGGTTGGCCGCGTGCAAGGCGAACATCCTACCCACTGTGCTATAGCTCAAGCCCCCATAAATATAAATTTTTAAGGCAGCAAATTGCCCTGTTTGCATAGCTTTTCTTTATGTAGCTCTGTTTAATTATTCCACCAATTCTGATTTAGTCTTACACATTTATTCTTTAAATGGGGAGAAGCCAAAAAGATGTACATCTAGAAAATATAAAAAAATGAAGAATATTGTGGGATTTACTTAGAAGTTAGGAGACACTGATAATAATTTTTTTATGGCTCGGAAAAAAGCAGTATTCAAAGAAGCAATCTTTCATTCAAATACAAAATGAGATTGGTTTTCCCCCACTGTTTGAGAGTTCATTCCCTCATGATGAATTTTATTCCCTCCTCACATTGCTTCATTTAGTCTCCTCAGTAGGAAAATATATTATATACGACTGTTCTATTTATTTTTATAAATAGAATCCACTTAAAAATTTTTGTTTATTTGGTGGCTGCAGGCAGTGGTGCTCAGGGAATACTCCTGGCTCTGCACTCAAGAATCATTCCTGATGGGGATCAGGGACCATATGGGGTACGGGGACTTGAACTGGGTCAGCCATGTGCAAGGCAAATCCTGCCCACCCCCTTTTTTGTTACCACTTACATTTTTAAAAGCAGAATGCATTTCATGTAAGGAATTGTTATATCTTAATATTTGTAGTTCTGGGCAATGCAGCATTTCCATGGCCACAAAGAGGAGATTTAGAATGTCATCCACTTCAAGTATGCATGTTGAGATAATTCAGTTAATGTTGTGCCTAGTTTAAGGAAACTGTCACTCATGATGCCACCTTACACTGCCCACAAAATGCTGATCTTATGATGGTCTTTCTGTTTTCTGTTTTTCTGTATGTACAATTCATAACTTAATGTAATACTTTTAGTCTCAGTTTCTGAAACAGTTTTTTCTATTACTTCTTGGTTTTCAAAAATCCCATTTCAAATATTTCTTTTCTCCTGTAATATTATTCTTATTTTTATTTTAAGTTGTTTTATAATTTCTTCTATTTCATAATACTATTAATACAGTTTCTACTATTCATAATTTCTTCTAGCTTGCTTGTTAACAACATTACAGTAGAAGGGCTGGAGAGCTACAACAGCAAAAAATAGTGTTTTACCTTGTAGATGGCCGACCTGGGTTCAATTCCTAGCATCACACATTGTCCCCTGAGCCCTGCCGGGAGTGATTCCTGACCAGAATCAGAAAAAGCCGTTATTACCACCAGGTACCCCTCCTCCCCGCCAAAAAACTAACAAAAATATTAGAATACTATTTTTTTAAAGAATGAACCAATTTATAACATCTATTTTTGAAACATGATTTTCAAGCTTGTTTCCATTACTTGAATGAATATTATACTCTTCCTTATTTCCTTTTTTCCACAGATAATCATCTTGAATAGGTTTGAATACTTTTCTTTTCCTGTTACGTTTTAGTGGGACGAGTTAGCCTGAACGGCTAGGTGAGCCCTGTAGCTTTCCAGCTTCAAGGTTCTAGTGCTCCCTCTTCTGTCACTTGTTGGAATTTTTCATAAATTCTGTGCTTTATTATAAGTGCTGGTCACTTCCCTTTTTTTCTTCGTCCCCAGTGTTCTTCCTTCCTCAGTCTGGGAATTCTGACTTAGCGGTGAGACTTGAGTCCTGAATTGAAAATACCCTAACGTGTTCTGATATACCTTTCACTCACCTTACTCACCTTTTACTCAACTACAAACTAAAGTGTAAAAAGTTGCTCTCAATTTCAACTATTTCTCGGAGATGTATCTACGATATATTAAAAGACATAGACTTTCAAATCAGATGCAGCCAATAAGAATAATGGAAGGTACCCAATAAAAGAATGTGCAAATGCTGCAAACAGCTAATCTACAGAGGAAGAAGCTAAAGGTCAAGTACACATAAAAAAATTGCTCTGTTTCACTACTTATTGACAACAATTAAATGGGAATTAGAGTTTCATCTGCTTCAGACATAAGGACATCATAATAAGCCAATATAATATTATTTTTTAAAAGAATGAATTAATTTATAGCATCTATTAGAGAACACCATCACCTCATAGATATTGTGTGGGGAGAATAACCGCCTACCCACCCAGTAAAAGAAAAAGATCTGATTAAAAGAGAGAATTACCCACACCTGGGAGTTTAGATGAACAATACTAAAACTCTAGTATCTGGAGAGGTGTATGCACCCTCATGTTTATCATAAGCACTGTTCACAATAGTCAGGAGTTGGAAACAGATCTAAGTGCCCATCAACAGATAATTAGGTCTGAAACATATGGGGCACACACAAACATACACACACGCACACAATGAAATACTGTTCAGCTATAGAACAAAAGTAAAAGATGAAACCCTGGTCAGGAATGTCACTCAGCAGTAGAATAACTCATTTGTGAGAGGCCCTAGATCCTAACCCTGGCAGTGGAAGGAAAAGAGGGAGCGGGAGGAGAAAAAGCAAGCAAAAAACCCGAAATGCTGCTACTTGCAACATAAGTGAACCTAAAGGGTCTTAGGGTAAGTGAAATAATTCTGAGAAAGACAAACACTATATCATTTTGTTTATGTATGTTACATAAAAAAGAAAATCAGAGCTGGAGAAATAGTTCAGCAGGTAGGGTGCTTGTCTTAGAGGCTAACTGAATAAATGAAAATAAATTTTTAGTTTATACAAAAAAATCAGTACTTGATTACCAGAGGAAAGCAGGATGGGTGGGAAGCTAGATAAATGTGTAAAAGGTGTCAGTTAAATGATGAGGAATAGAATTGTATGCTACTGATGAACTAACAGTATAAAAAGATGCTGATTTATAAAGATTCACCTAAAACTTACGTGATAAATTTATTTCAATTAAAAACATAAAATACATATTTTTTTTTGTTTTGGGTCTGCACCTAGCAGTGCTCAGGGCTTTCTCCTGGCCCACTGCTGGCAGTGCTCAGGGGACCATATGCGGTGCTGGGGATTGAATCCACGTTGGACATGAGAAAGGCAGATGCCCTACCTGCTGTACTATCTCTCTGCCTGCCACGCCTCCAAAACACTGTTTTTAAAGACAGAAGAAGTACATCTCTAACATTCTTTCTCTGGCCTCTGGAACTCTGCTTGCACTATTCCAGCAGTCAGAAATTTCCTCTTCCTTTTAATCTTTTTTTTTTAATTGCTTTTTGGGTCACATCCAGCAATGCTCAGGGGTTGCTCCTGGCTCTGCACCCAGGAATTACTCCTGGCAGTGCTTGGAGGACCATATGGGATGCTGGGGATCGAACCCAGGTTGGCACGTGCAATGCAAGCGCCCTACCCACAGTACTATCACTCTGGCCCCTCTTCCTTTTAGTTGAATAGCCATCTCTCATGTACCCTCCCTCAACACAGTCAACTAACTAAATTATTTGATCAAACCCCAAT